CTGTGTACAATAGAGTGATATAAACATTAGTTTTTTTTCTTTGTTTGACTGACAGGTCTTTCAAATAATGGACTGACAATACATGTAACAGATACATTTAAAATACTCTCTTTGGAAACATCAAAATGTTTAAAATTCACACAGGAGAGAAGATGTTGACAACCAAAAGACATCTATTGGTACATCAATTAATTTAAAGAATTACATTGAAACAAAAATGAACTTTAAATTGCTACAATAGCGTTTCAATATTTTGGATTTTTTTGGTGATATTTGATGAAATGCTTAAGAAGGTAAACATGTATTCCAGTACTATTACCAAGTTTTGAAATGACACATGAAAAGCATTATGCTCAATTTTGTCACAATGTCCTGATAGAAAAAAAATATTTTGAGTTTAAATTTGCAAAGAATGACAAAATGTGTTTTTGTTTCTTGTTTTTTTTTTCGTGGCCTGAAGCATGCATACCTGTAAGCCAATCAAGTGTGACCGTGAATACAAACGATTATCCTACTTATCCTTTGGTAGAATGAAATCAAAATATTTAATGTTCAGAAAGGTATTTAAAAACTTTTTTCAGCTATTGAAACTTTTCAACTCCACATGCTTGATCAATTTATGGCAATGCAAATTTAATATTTGAACGTATTAATTGTCAATTTTTTCCGGACATCTTAGAAAATGACTCCAAATATAAAGCTATCACAATCAGCATTATTTGTACTATACAATTTCTTAGGATAAAAAAGAAGTTAGGCCTTTAGTGTTATCTAATATATTCATAAGAAAAAATCTAGAACAGGATTAAATTGCCCCCACCCCCCACCCCCCCGCCTCAATAAAAAAAAAAAAAAAGAAGAAAACAGGTTTTTGTTATGCCAATGTAACTGTCATTTGCAATTGTATCTGCTAAGTTGTCATTTTACACAATTGTGATTAACAGCTACTTTTTATGCCCAACCTACTATAGTAGTCCAAATAATTATGATGTTTTGTACGGCTTTTTGATATATTTTTTGTATGCCTTCCTTCAAGAAGGCGTAACAGCAAAAATAAAAAATAGCCTTTCTAGATGTCATAATTATTTGGACTACTGATATAGATGAGAAGCATTATGTGAGCAATAGGATCACAGTTGAACTTATTATTTCTCGTAGATAAATTAAATTTTTGCACTTAGGTATTGCCTGGTATTGGTCAGAGTATTGGATTTGGAATTTAATCTTAACAAAACTTGCAGAAGTTTCACAGTTTCAACAGTTTATCAAATATTGACAGTGTTAAGCTGATGCGTTATGACAATGCTCATGGAAGCATATTAAGTGTTAATCAATGGAAATATCCATGAAACTAATCCTGATGGATATCAGTCTGACTCTCTCTAAAGATATTCTAAATAGATCACAGACTTAAAATTCAGCAATATTATAAAAGGGAAATTTCCACCAGGCCTGCATTAGTTTACTTTGATATCTATTCTTATATTTGTGTATTTTTTTCTATAAACTAGTTGATGAAAGAAACTGCTATTTTATCTACTCAAGGTTGCCTTTTATTTGGACTGTTAAAAGAACAATATTTGGATTGGGATTGCTGGCCATCGCCTAAATTTCCTTGGACATCTATTACCATGGTACCTTTTTATGCCCCTGCCGTAGGCAAAGGGGACATTAAGTGTTACCTTAGACCATCTGTCCTTCCTTCCGTCTGTCTTTCCGTCCTTCACTCATTTCCGTCTTTACGTCCTTCTGTCCTTCTATCTCATTTTCAAAGCTTGAGCCGGGACATTCATGTCCTCAGACACATTGTTCTTTTATTTAACAAATCTTTGTTGTAATTGCTTGAAAACTTGGTGGTTTTTGTTCCATATTTATTAACTTAGAATTATTGAATAATACAGCAAACCAACTATTTTGTGACTTTCATGAATCGAAAAAAAAAACGCGAATATAAATCATCGCAGATTGGTTAAACTTTGATTTTTTCCTTTTACAAATATGTCAAGAAAATTAGAAAATTGGGAAAATAAATTTCTTGCAAAGTCTACTAGAAAGGGCTCAATGCAAAATAAAGTATCCACAAAAATAAGTTTGTTTACAGTAATTGGATATTGACAGACTGTCAGAAACATCTGAATAAACTAGTAATTTTGTGAATGCAAATACAATAATAAGAAGAAAAAAAAGAATATCCCGTGGCTATGAAAAAAGAGAAACTGATTAGAATTGGAACAAATTGGACGCGGCTGTGATGAAATTAATAAGATTTTTACATTGACTTGTAACAGTGTTTGTATCTATGTGTCAAATTTGCCTGGAGTCGAAGAATGTGGAGATAAATTCAATATGATACTGATTTAAAATTAAATTGCTATGAAATGTTAACTTGCCTTCAGAAATATTGGTTACGCAAATTTAATTTGGAATAAGGTCAATATTAGTTTTGTCCTAGCTACATGTACATGTATAGAACATATGGGATATATATATATATATATATGAAGAATGAACACCAATTTAGATAAAAATTAGTTATTTATGTTTGATGTTGTTGAGAAAGGGCATTTTTAAGCCAATAATTATCAATGGCATATAAAAAATATGCTACATGTTTGAAGATTTCACTGAACATTCTTGTCAAAATCATTGAATTTCAAATGTTTCTAAAAAAAAAGAAGATGTAAAAAAAATCTGACAGTGTCTTAATTGAAATACCAAAATAATTTGCATCAATATTGCAAAATTCTCCATCTTTGGACAATAGAATAGAAATTTTAAAGTGAGATTAAATCATCATGGAAATGAAAAGAACAAAAGAAATATTGAAAGTATGGTCAGAAAAAATGTCAGACTAGCTAGAAAAATGGCTGGATCACAACATCCATGATGCTTTGATTTTTTAAATTTTGTATATACATAAACAGATTTTACCGCTGGAATATGATACATATCTACACCTGTGACAGTCATGTTTTCTTAAACAGATCACTTACCAGATGTTTTAAATTAAATAATCAATTGCATGGAAAAAAAATAATATCTGATTTACTGCTTGCATGGGACTCGAGGTTCTTGAATAAGTTGGACTATCTTGCATGTAACCCAAATTTTGGTTTGGTCAGATCTAGTATTTTTCAAGGTTTCTTATCGCATGCCTAAAGGAAACTATCACAAAACTGCTAATAATTTTGTTGTACATGCAATTGAAGGCAAGATTGTCTTTCAAACAAGCATATTCATAGAGACTGTCTGAGTGAATGTAGTGAATAAGTTTGATATGTCTGGCATGATTTATAGCTATTAATAACTTAGGGCATCTTAATCTTGTTATACTTGAAGAAAATGATGTTTTGGCATGCAAGCCTTATTAATGCCATCACAATGGTAATTTCAGAGAATATTTATTAAATTCCTGTGAGTCAATACAAAAAGCAAGAACAAGTAAATGTCATCTTAAAAGCAGTGTATACAAAATGTTTGTAACATCTGTAGAATAAGGGTAATTATAGGAATCCCACACTACTTTGAAACTGGAAAAAAAGCATTTAATCTTATTTAAGTTGTTTAATGGCAAAAATCCTAGAAAAATAGTTGTCAATTTCAAATTTTTGGTACCATGATTTAAAATTCAAATTCTTTCCATTCACGGCAATTATGAGTCCTATTCAGAATTACTTGTATAATAAGTCTTTGAAACATTTGTAAGAGGTGGGATTTCCTTGGCCTCTGATTAAAGCACTAAGTTACTGACCATGACCAAAATGTTTAACAGTAAAACATAACGAAAGGTTATTTATTTCGTCTACATCTTCCGATATCATTTACGAAACTTGATGAATGTCCTGGAATACCCCTGGAATTTTATGTTACCAAAAGGGTTAAGCTTCAGGTGTGAAGTAAGGGGACATTTATCACATTTCCTTATCCTGGTGCATCTTTTTAACTTATTTTAATCAAACAAGGAAGGGATGGATATTGGAATCAAACAAAGATAACAGAGTTCAAACAATAGAAAAAATGTTTTGCTTTTGGTCTTTTTTTAACAGGCAGTAACCTTTTCAGGAAGTTTCTCTGACTTAAGGATTAAGGTTTGATAAATGAACTGTAGTTTAAGACTATAGCACAGATGTGTTACAGCAATATTATATAAAACTGTAAGTGACAATTTTTCACAATTGTCAGTGAATAAAGGGTTGTTGAACTTTTCTGTATGTAAAATTGACTGATTGGTGGTTTCTTAAGTCGGCCCACTACCACAAATCTTGTATACAATCATTTAAATAAACTACATTATGTTACATAGGGATTATAATGACGGAAGAGTTTCTTGGTTTAAAAAGGGAATTAGAAAAAAGGGTGAAAAATTGTTGTCATTCATCACGTGAAAGTAGATATTTGGTGCAATAAGTTTAACATAGAGTTGTTGTCCTTTGTTATGCAACGTTGACAGAAAAGTACAAGGCATTGTGTTTCAAAGTCAATAATTAATGTTTCAATTCAAGAAAAAAGATATTAGGCTTTCATTCAATGAGATTTAATGTTGAATAGAGAGTTATTACCCTTTGTTATGCAACGTTGATAGAAAAGTGCAAGGTTTCCAAGTCATTTATCAAAGTTTCAATTCAAGAAAAAATGAGTATGGCTTTCATTTGATGAGATTTAATGTTAAATAAAGAGTTATTGCCCATTGTTATGCAACGTTGATAGAAAAGTGCATTGCATATTTTATTGTATTTCAAAGTCATTCATCATAATTGCAATTCAAAAAAAAAAGATAGGACTTTCATTCAATGATATTTGATGTTGAATAAAGAGTCATTGCCCTTTGTTGTGGAATTTCACACCTTTTACCAAACAAATAGCCAAACATTACATGGTCATTCATCAACCTGATCAGCTGACAAAAAAATGAAAAAAATACCAGGTTAATCTTATTATTGAATTGTTATAATATGATTTATTGATTTAATGTTTCTTCAATTCTTAAGATGATGTTCAAGAAATGATGATATAAACAGTCCTCTGAAAAGAAACATAAAAGACTGTAACAGATTGTACCGCTATAACAACAAACGTTATTACTCAGTGTTAAAGACGGAGAAATTTTCACTAGGATTTTAGAAGCTTGAGGTAAATGAATTTTATGACAGTTTACGATTTTTATTGTTGATATATGACAGTTGTATATGTATGTTATTTGTAACAGTTGTGGCAGACTCTGTGCGAGGGTGTTTGATTAACGTTGCATCTGTTGCAGTTCATTGTCATTATATTAGTTAACCCAATATATATTTATATTTATATAATGCAACTTGATGTTTAGAAAATATTGATTATAATTTTAAATATAAACTTTACCGTATGTATATTATATGTATTTTAATGTTTGAGTTTTGTTAATGGTTCTTTTGAATCTTTTTTGGAAGGTTTCAAATTTTGTCATTTGGGATAAATAATTGTTGGTAAGTTGATGACTTTTTACTTTTTGGTGATTTGCGATTCTTTTTACTTTGGCCCTATTGACGTTCTCCCAAATGAATCATATAAAACCAATGATATATAGTTGTACTCAGGTAATCTATGATTTTATTGTATATATAGTTGCCATTATGGATTCTGTGGATTTGCATCACTATAGACCAGCCTGTACTGATATAAACAATTTGGACACTTATAGAAGCCCAGGCCATATTTTAGAAATTGTGGAGTGCTAGTCCCTTTTATTTCCATCTCTGTGATATTTCTAATACAAGCAATTCAATATTATTATTATATTTCTTCGGTACTACTGAACAAAATGACTTAATATTAGCATGAAAGTAATATTTAAAAGGAATAACAACGTCGTCACTTCAAAGGTTTCATCTGCATTACCGCCCTCCTTTCAGTAACTCGTTAATTGGTTTAATATCTGGCATGGAAGTTGATTCTCCGCATGTGATCGATCAAATCACTGACACTTTTCGGTCATTTTCGTGTTCACGGAAAACTACGAACAGAGGTCTTTTTGTCGTATATACGTGCGAAGTAACCCTAATAGTCCATTCGTTACATTCCGTTGATGTACGCTGCCGAATAGAGTCATTCGTTCAATTTTTATTTTAGTCCAGTTTTCCTATTTCTGGTTAGTTCGATCTTAATAGTACCGACAGCTATCACATATGAAATTGGAGAACAAGGCTGGGTCATTTTCAATTTTAATATTTACAGACAGTTAAAAAGCCATTTCCGTAAGTTAAGAAGATGATTGTACAAAAAAAACCGTTTGGACCCCCTTTTATTAAATTCGAATAATCTAAGTCTTTCGTGTATTAGTCAATTAAAATATTCACAATTCTAAACGGTTCTATCCTTTAATTATAGTTCTTGATACATAAACTAATTCATGTAAAATGAATTTGCCGTAAGACAGATAGCGTCAAGCTCATTTTGTCGGTTTGTTTTAATTTTTGCTGCAGTTTGTTATATTAATACAAGTATTCCACTATAAACACTTATTAAAAAAATTTATGTTTACGAACATATTATCCCTATTTTAGCTGTCCAGTTTCAATAATGTAATCAATGACGTTTATGACATATACATAAATTTAGAATACTTCTCGATAAACTTTGCACATTTCAACAGTAAAAAAATCTATGTCTAGATTTGTCTACATTATTTTGTTAAACATCATGTGAAACCTGATCGATTCATCAGTATTTAACTGTTTTACTCGGGATCCGCTTTTAACCGGAAAATACTATTAGAACAGTTTTAAACAAACGGTAAAAAGCAAAAATATGCTAAATTAAATACAATTTTCCATGCTAAACTGTTGTAGGTTGAACAATTCTCGTCTTTTTTTCAAGTTTTTTTTACATCATACGACTTCTTTCTGAAGGTAGAGGTTTTATATGATACAGCGCCACCTTCTTATTAATAAACCTGGGATTTCACACAGATGCTTTATAATTACCGGACTCGATAAAATCATGTGACGGATAAGAAATTCCAGATGCCATTTTACAACCGCGGTATCACAGATAGTAACCAAAGGGGTCTTGCCGCTGAGACTATAATTGGATAAAATCATATGACTTTAGTACAGAGCTCTGCGAGCTGGTTATACATGCTAATTAGTTGTTGTTATTCCTTTTAAATATTACTTCCATGATATTAGTAAGACTACAAAAACTCATATTTTTTACTCCATCTGCAAAACAATTCTTTATGAATTTGCCTTAAAGAGATGATATTCTTTATTAGACTTCATCACACAATTAAATTGTTCTTAGTAAATAATGCCTTAATAAAGCTGGGAATTCTGAGCATTTCAAGAAAGTGCTGAGATCCAATTAGATCCATCAGTTGGTTAGATATGTCACAATGTTTAGGCGGCCAAATAAGAAAATCACTCTGGACTCAGAATCCCAAAAGCGATTAGTGTTTAGTGTTTCAATGTTTGTGTTGATTGCAATTTAACAAAATTTCCAAAATTATAAACCAAAAATTGTTCATGGAAATGTCAAATTTTTAAAACAATTCAACAGATGGTCATTTTTTAACTAATTGGCTTCAATTTAATTACTGTTTACATTTCTTGTCAATCGTCTACCATCTGGCCAGATTATTGCACCTTAATTTTTTTGTTTTTATAATATAAATGTATGTCATTTGTTTACTACTGAAAGTTCCATTTAACTCCTTTAACATTACAAGAAGATAAAGGAAAGGAAATAGACTATTAAACATTTGAAAAAATTGACATAATTTATCAAATTTGAGACTTTATTTTCCTACATTTATCAAATGTGTGCCTTTTTTTATCTGTGACCTTTTTTCCTACCAATGTTGTGACTTTTCCCGTTTACCTTCTGCACCAGCATGTGACCAGTGAAAGGTTTCCAATCAAACTTTCACAGATTCATCATGACAAAAAATCATTGTACATTTAGTCTTCTATTTTACTCTTTGATCCAATTCATTTTTAAACAACAAAAATAATCAGCATGTACTTTTGACAGGTGAGCGATTCAGGCTCTTGTTTGCATATTAAAAAAACAAATTTGAAAAAAACTCCGATTATTTTTTTATTTCCCACCCTTAATCTTTCATTGTTTAAAATTTGATAATGATTTGCAACAGTGTCTTTATATCATTTAAAAAACTACTAATATTTGTGACACCTTATTCTCTTTGTCCAGCCAATGAACTTAATATAAAGTAATACCTAATATTACTTATGATATAATCCAATTAATATTTTATTGTTAATTGTTCTCATAAGTTACTTAAAGTGTCAATTGTTATACCCACCTGTCAATTAGAATAAAAAGGTGTTTAGGATATTAATAATACATGTAGCTTTTTTATAAAAGTCATTATGGAATACCTGACCATTTGTATTTTACAAACAGCATATTTCATTGGATTTACCCTTGGTAGATTTGTTAGTAGATCAGATGCACAGATTTTGCAGGTAAATGCTTGTCAGATTACAAAATTAAGTAATAATACAATTTTTGAAGTAGATAAAAATATTTTTCACTTTTTCAAAGTATGAACCTATGAAAATAATTTGTTTTTCTTAAAATCCTACAAAATTTGGTACCCATGAAAATAAATGAATCCAATGTATCGTGTTTTCTGGAGAAAAAAATGTAGTTATTATTTATTCAATATCTTTTATATTTTGTTCTGGGGAAAAGAAGATTGATTACATAGACATATAATTGCTATTATAAAATCAATGAAATTGATGATTTACTAAAATACAACAGAATTAAGTTTCATAGCTATGCAAAGAGGGGAGGTTGGAGGGGGTCTTATCCTGAATTCTTGAGAAAGTAAATCCCAAATCCTGAATTATTGTAAAAACAGTTTCCACATCAATATATTATAATTATAAAATTCAAGATTTCCCAACAATTTAAAACAGCTGTAAAAACTCCTTCCTTCACTCTACAAACTATACAAAGCATCAAGGCCAGTGCTGAAGTGCTAGAAGATTAAAGCTTTAAAATTTTACTATGTTTAAGTTCTAAGCAAGTAGAAGTATTTTAGTCCATATAAAAGTTCATAATTCTTAGAAACACTTAGTGCTGACATACATTTACAACATTTTAAATTTTAAAATTGAGAATGGTAATGGGGAATATGTCAAAGAGACAACAACCCGGCCAAAGAGCAGATAATTTTCTCGCTGCGTTAAGACCCATTGGTGGCCACGAGAAAATTTGCAGGTTTAAAGGTATTTAGATGGTTGACTATATATACTATTACAATTTTATATTGAATTATGTATTTAAAAAAAAAAAAAGATTACCAATTATTTTTTTGGCCATAATATACCCCTACCTTGAAGAGTGGGAGGATAAAAGGGGGTGGGTGGTATATACTGATGCACATGTTTCGTCCATTTTACTGTTAAAGTAAGTATGCATACCCTATATTAAAAAGACAGTTGTCTGAAAATATTTGTGAATTGTCTGCAAACTATTTCCCTAAAATATACTGAGCTTGACATATATGGTATGGGGACTTCTCTTCCATTGATGGTTGTTTAATTGTTTTAATGTCTGGTGCAAGTATTACATATCCAGAAAAAATTTCAACTCTACTTGTTTTAGACCACCCATGCTAAGCCAGATTTTTTATTTCCTTTTTTAGCTCACCTGGCCCAAAGGGCCAAGTGAACTTTTCTCATCACTTTGGCGTCCTTCGTCCGTCGTTGTCGTCCGTTAACTTTTACAAAAATCTTTTCCTCTGAAACTACTAGGCCAAATTTAACCAAACTTGGCCACAATCATCATTAGGGTATCTAGTTTAAAAAATGTGTCCGATGACCCCGCTTGCCAACCAAGATGGCCGCCATGGCTAAAAATAGAACATAGGGGTAAAATGTAGATTTTGGCTTATATCTCTGAAACCAAAGCATTTAGAGCAAATCTGACATGGGGTAAAATTGTTTATCAGGTCAAGATCTATCTGCCCTGAAATTTTCAGATGAATCGGACAACTCGTTGTTGGGTTGCTGCCCCTGAATTGGTAATTTTAAGAAAATTTTGCAGCTTTTGGTTATTATCTTGAATATTATTATAGATAGAGATAAACTGTAAACAGCAATAATGTACAGCAAAGTAAGATC